CTACTAAGGACTGTCAACTGAAACTAGATTTGTAGGGCAAAGAGAGTCTACTACACACAGTGGTTTCCATGGAAATAACAGTAAGTTACAGCCATGCATGCTGGTGCCCGCCTGTAATTCTAGCACCTGGGAGGCTGAGGCAGGAGGATCACTGTGAGTTTGAGGTTAGTCAGTCTGGGCTACAAAGTGAGTTCCAGGCCAGCCTGAACTGCACTGTGAGATCCTGCCTGAAGAAAAAAAGGAAATGATAAAGAATCACATTCTTAGCTCCACGTCCGGCTTTAGCAGGAGCTGATTATCAGGATGATTTTACTGATCTACATCACAGGCTGCTGCTTGCTTCCACAGCACACACACTAAAGCTAACGATACGAAGATGATATGAAACAAAATCACAGGACAGACACTTCTGAGGTAATTTGCCAATGGTGGACATGTGTCTGAATGGGGATATTATGATTCTCTTATTCAGGAAGTTCCTGAAGAAACACATTTGTTGAACACTTTTCATACTTTTGGTTGCTGGTTTTTTTGGTACTGGGGATCGAACTCATGACCTCGCACTGCCTGGCAGGTGCCTGTGCTGCTGAGCTAAGCCCCAGGCCCACACTTTTTATACTTAAGTCCAATTTCACACAGTTAGCAAACTGTCCTCCCTTGTGCTTGACTCCAAGTCCAGCCCTCCGGGGGTCACGGTCCCAAACACCTTCCGGAGACTTCAGCACCGTAAATAAGTTATAGCGTGCAACCCGCCCGGAGCTGCTCCCCAGGAGCTCCCGGGGGAGCAGAGGCAGCGTGGCGGTGACACTGAAGACCTGCAACGTCCTGCGGGAGCCACAGCAGCGCAGGAGAGCAAGCGGGGAATCGGGCCGGGGCTTATGACGCTGCAGAAGAGGGCCTGACAGCCATGGGACCGAGTACCCCACCGGCCTCTGCTTCCACCACACTTCAGGAAAGGCAACAGTGTCACAACCCGAGCGAGCCAGCCACTCACTGCTCACCGCTGACGCATGTGCGGTTAAGAGGTTTTCTTTTCGTGATTGGAATGGTGATGCACACCTGTAATCCTGGTGCTCAGGAGGCTGAGGCAGGGGCATAACCTGCCAGGAGACCTGCCAGGGCTCCACAGTGAGTTTAGGGCCAGCCTCAAGTGCACAGTGAGGCTCTGGCACCTGAAACTCGGACCTAAGGAGCCTGCACACATGGTTTCCTCCCAGGCCAGTTCCCTAATTTTGGTGCAGACTTGAGTAACAGGCAGTTCTTTGCTAAAAATATGACAAAAACGTATGTTGCTAGGGGCTCTCTGGCTACACGGGCCATGGCAAAGTGGGCCCACCACCCTTGAGCTCCACGTAGTCCAACCCATAGTGACCGCCATGGTCACTTCCCTGCTGGGCTGTGTTTCTTTCGCTTGTAGTCCAGTAACCCTGGCTGGACACTCAGGTGACAGGAAGGACGAAGCATCTGCCCTTCAGTCTGTGAAGTCAGCGGAATTCCGCAGACAGGCTTCCACCCGCATCTTTGTCGGCACTCATGTGTGTGGGAAGAAAGTCAAGCCTTGGACAAGCAGCTTTTATCTTTGATGAATAGTGAAAGCTAAACATTCAAAAAAACGTTGAGATTATAATCCCAGCATTCTGGGAGGCTGAGGTAGGAGGAGTTAAAGTTTGATTCCAGCCTGGGAATTCAGTAATTTACCCAGTCTCAAAAACTAAAAAAAGGGCTGGGGGTTTTGCTCTGCATGAAGGTCCTCAGCTCACTTCTCAATACTGAAAAAGAAATTGTATTTCTATTCTCTAAAATGTCCATGTATTCAAAAAACTGATTTTGATACTGGCCAGTAAGTGCCAGATATTACAAAAGAAACACCTGTGATCATAGTCACGTGCCATTTTTTTGGCAGCAGGAACTGAACTCAGGACCTTGCGCTTGCCAGGCAGGTGCTTATGCACTAAGCTAAATCCCCGGCCCCACATGCATTTGTTTAAAAAGGACACCTACTGTTGAGACGAGTGTGGATCGCTGACTCTCACAGCTGTGGTGATGTCGGAACCACAGTCGGCTTCAGACGACTTCTGCTGACTGGTGATAAGGACCCAACCCCGGAATTCTGGACCACAGGAAGCAGTCTTACCCAAGAAAGCTGCGAATGTTAACCACCTCACAGTTGCCAACTGGGGCTTTGGTGAAGAGTGCTCGGCCTGTGCCCGGCTGGCCTCGGTAGGCGCTGGGTGGGTGACTTCTAGGTGAGCACCGAGACTGCCAGGTGCACCGCTCTGCCCTGAGGGGAAGGAAGTCGCATGGACCAGAAGCACAGAACCACCCGAACCAGAGATCGTTCAATTCACATTCTAAGCAGGCGGAAGAAAACAGAGTTTTAAAAAACCTGTGTCTGCAGAGACTATTCTGGCAAAGTCATCAGCTTCTCAGCGTGGAAACGGGCTTCCCCAGGGCGCAGTTATTACTGGCAAAGGCGTCAGTGAGCTCTGCTGGTAACTGGCAGGAGAAGGCTGGGAAAGCAGCCCACATGCACCCTTCTAGTCGGTCGGGTCAGAAAGGCGGTGTGGCGCGGGGTGCGGATGCTCACTGCACACTAATGACAACGGACCCTCGATCAGCACCTCCGCCACCTCGGAGCAACAGGCTCACTCACTGAGCGTGCCTGGGTAAATCCTGCTTAACGGAGGGGAAAACAATCAGAACACGCCAGCAGGTGTCCCTGAACTTTCGCTGATAACAATATCCAAGTCGGAGGATGGATTAATAGGCCCTAACTCTACAAGGGACTTAGGTGTTTTATGCATAAGGAAACTAGGGCTGACAGGTGTCCCGAGCTGGACCTGGTCATGTGGGTGATGAGAGAAAGCTTCGACGCTCCAGCATGCTGCACCAGTCCAGGCGGGGGACCCAGGACACACCTAGGCGCCCACACCATCTCCCTGGGCTGCGGTCACTTTCCAGAAGTGCAGACCTAGCCAGAGACCTGGGCAGAACAGAAAAGGCACGGACACCGACGGCAGAGCGCCCCTCACTGCCTGGGGACTGGTGCTGTGAGACCGGTGTCAGCTTGTGTTTACAGGAGTTTACTGTGGTCAGTTTAAATTATTAGGTTCTAAAGTAGATTTATAGGTGTGTGACACGCGGCAGGGTCACCAGGCAGGCAGTGTGTTCCGGGAGCTGCTGGGACCTGGAAGGAGCCTCAGGGAGCCTGCTGGGCAGCTGACACAGAAGATCGCCCTCCTGATAGTGAGCACCGGGAAGCTGACACACATCTGTAACCTGCAGGACTTTGTGTCTTCCTGTCTGAGGGAAAGGATCGCTATGTGGGTGGTCTGCGGATTCAAGCTCAGAGAAAAAATTGAAACACTTTCCTGTTTTTGCTTTATTAGAGTAACTTATTAGAGCACGCACGGAAACACAGCATGGAAATGGGAAAAAGATGACAAGACTGTAGAGGGGCTCTCAGCCCAAGATGGTCCGAGAGGAGTACAGTGCTGGGAAGAAGCGCCCAGAGCCGGCGAGGTGGCTCACCCTGTAATCCCAGCACTCGGGAGGCTGAGGCAGGAGGATCCTTGCCAAGTTCGAGACCAGCCTGGGCTGCACAGTGAGCTCAAGGCCAGCCTGAACTGCACAGAGAGACCCCATCTCAAAAAGACAAAAAAACAAAAAAACAACCCCCCCCCAAAAAAAAAGCGCCTCCAGAGCTGGCGCTAAGACTGGAAAGACAGACATTGAGTGAGGACGATGAAGATTTTTAATGTAAAGTCATTTTTTTTTTTTGTCTTTTTTGAGATGGGGTCTCGCTGTGCAGTTCAGGCTGGCCTTGAGCTCACTGTGCAGCCCAGGCTGGTCTCGAACTTGGCAAGGATCCTCCTGCCTCAGCCTCTCAAGTGCTGGGATTATAAGTATGCACCACCACACTCAGCTTAAAGGGGAATTTTTGTTTTATAATGTACCTTGTTTTGACTTACAGCTGCTCTGAGGAAAGCAGAAGCCTGTGCTGGGCTGGCAGCACACAGCCACCCTCCCCGTCCTCTTAGCCCTAGACATGAGCCACACGGCAGGACATTCCTTCTCTTATCGGACCATCGGGCCCAGCTCTGAGCGCACACATGGAAACACTTCACTGCGTGTTCGGCATCATAGCACCCAGCGAATGCCTGGCACACTCCGCGCACTGTTGCCAGGAGGTGAGCGGCTGTGGAAGCGCTGACTCCCTTCTGAGGGTAAAGAGAAGGGATGGTAAGTACAGATTTTTATACTTTGGTAAGTACACTGGTTTTCTCCTTTACAGGCAGATGTTTTGAGACCAGGCTGCGTTCCTTTTTGTTAATGCAAACAATTCCCCAACAGCTGCTATGCAGGCTTGGAGAACAGCTTTAATGACCTATAATAACATGTCTGAGCTCATGGCAATGGGGACACTTTGAGTTCTGCTGATACCAGTCTTTCTCTGCACTAACAATGGAGACTAAAGTGCTGTGTAAGCCAGAGGACAGTGGTCACTCCCAGGCGCAGGAGCACCGAGTAATAATAAAATGCACCCCCTGTGGAAGCCCAGTCTTCAGGGCGCTGCTAAGGTGATCTGCACCGCAGGCGCCTTGGGGGAGAGCCAGCGTCAGGCTGCTCCTTACGGCCAAGGCCACGTATTTGTCTGTCCTCAGTCCCACAGGAGACCAAGCAACTCAGCAGAAAGAGCAACTGAAGGGAAGTTCACACGGAAAGGAACGGGCCTCCTGGATGACGGATGCGCAGGGTCTAGATTCCCCCCAAAGCCCTGAGAAAGATCAGGCTCCCCAAGACCACCTCTGCGGGTGCCGTCTCACCCAGGAGACACAGCCATCTGTTCTTCCGGTTCTGATCCTCACAGTCACTCAAGACAGAATAAAGAAACAGGAGAGCGTTTACCCAGAGTTTCACAGCACTGACCTACAGGATGATGCTCAGCAGATCACGCCTCCCTGAGGGAAAACCCCACCACACACTTAAAATCAGTAACGTGAAGAAACAGACGATTTATTTCCAGTGACACCAGTGAGGAAAGATGGCCGTGGGAGAGCTCCCCTCGCCTTCTGCAGCTGCGCTGATGCAGGGCGCATTGGTCAGAGGGGAACAGAAGCGCACAGTGAGGACCTGTGCTCCGGAGAGGGGAGCCGGGTTCACGGGCACCGCCCTGGGGAGGAATCTGTGGCTCTGCGGGGTGAAGGAGTGGCGCTCAGGGCGGGGAGCATCATGGATAAGCGGCGGGCAGGGAGGCTCCGGACTCGGTTTGGCATGATGGACTCAGATGAACTTCCGGGTTTAGGGCGGCGGGGTAACCCACTGCTCCCCTCTCTTCCTGAAAATCACCCTGGGGGCTGCAGGGCACACACCAGCCACAGCCGTGAAAATGAGCAGCAGGTTGGAGAATGCCTGTTGATGGGGTGGAGGCCGCACCCTTGGGCCCAGGGCGCCTAAGACAGGGCTGCACAGAGGCGAGTGCGCTGCGACAGCACAGGTCAGCGGCACACAGGCCCAAGGACAGGGCTAGGCACGGGGTCCAGTGCTGCTGGAGGATTTGGGTCCTGTGTTTATCTTTCAAGTCACATTTGTGTTCTTAGACATTGAAAGGAAGATTTTTGACGGTATTAGTGTACTGCTGAGAATATTTTACACAGTGCTTAACCACAAGACCTCTTCTCTCCAATATGCAGGGCTGGGCCGGAGAGGGTGAACCCCTGGCTCGGGTGCCGAGCGGGCTGCAGGGGCTCTGGAAACCGTGGTGGTGGGGTGAACGGGGCTGGCGACGTATGAATAGGATCTGAAGGATGGGAAGACTGCGGGGAGTGCTTCCGCAGACAGGGAATCGGCTGAGGCAAAGGCCTGGGGCGGCGGCACCATGCATTTACCCCCAGTGACAAGGGGTCGCTGTGCTGGGCAGCGGGGGGCAGTGAGGCTGGTGGCCAGGGCGGCTGCACTGCAGAGGACCTGTCTTGGGCTGTGAAGGTCTGGCTTCTCCTCCTAGGGAGAGAATGAGCCCCTGCCGAGAGGAGACTCACAGGGTGACCTTAGGTATGGACAGGTGCCCTGGAGAAAGCTGCACAACCCAGACTACAGGCACCGTCCAGGAGCTGTGCTGGATGGCACCTGCCGCCACGCCCTAAGTGCTGCCCAAGTGTTTACGAGCAGACGGATGGACGTGGTGGCTCCCCTCATGCAGAGGGGACATGAGACCCGCTTTGCACACATTGCCATCCTGCAGAAATGAGCCTGGCGAGGGTGACTGAGGTGCCATCCTGGACAAGGTGACAACTCAGGGCCCAGCAGGCGGCATCAGAACAGCTGCCATGTACCCTCACGCATCCTTTACTTCTGAAATCCTCCTCTCACACCGCCCGCGGAGCTTGAGCGGGGTTAATGGACACTGGGATGAGAGAGTTGACAGGACAGGTCGGGTGGCACTTGTCCTCAGGGCAACCTTCCACAAGCGATGGCACCCAACAGATTCCCCTGTTGTCTCCTGGGCAGCCACGAAAGATTCTATGGGTCATTTAAAGCTCTTTTGTGGAAAGATTTGCACTTTTCAAGTCTATCTCTTGACCTTACGTTTCCCAGGGCACAGCTCTGAAACTGTTCTGATGCGTATTTGTACCAACTCTTCTTTATGAACTAAGGGACCTTCTATATTTTCACCCAGTCCCGCTTTTATCCCTGAAATGTAGGAGCCAGAGTACTGACTGCAGGTGGAGACTTACAAAAGGGACAGACGCACTTCTGCTAGGTGAGAAAGTTCCCCCAGTTTCTCTTTTTGCTCTGTGGCCGCCGAGTCAGGCAATGTGCTCTTTATGGATGTCAGAGATTAGCATTTGCTCTTAAATTATTTTGGTGATGAAAACGCCAGGGATAGCAAAACAATTCTGTTCTTCAGTAAGGACTGCTTTGGTTGATAACGGAATGTTCCAAATTATTAAGTGTTTTCATTAACACAAAAATGACATACGACTAGACCTTCCCACATCTGCAGTTAGTCTTTCTACTGTCACCACGAGGAACTCACTCCTGCTGTAGTAAGTAACGGGAAATGCCGCAATTTCTGAGAACCGTATGAATTCTGAAGTCGTATAATGTTGAGCATTACCTTACACGGTCACAAGACTTTACCTTCTTTTCCATAGGTCAAATCATTGACAGATAAGCATGAGAATCAAGTATCTCTTTAAAGAACATGATTAGTGTAGTGTGTGAGACTTAAATTCATATGATTCACAAAATGAATAGCATGCTTTCCTTTCTCTCTGAAACATCCAAGATTTGCAATGATAACTTTAGCTAAAGCAAAGAAAAAGAATTACACAGACCAACACTAAAGTACGATGATTTAGTGCACTCATTTCTAAGGAGAAAGACTTGACTTGCGGTTACTGTTTATCAGAGTGCTAATTAAAAAGCAAAGACAAGACTACAAAGCTCGGTTGGTCACTCCGGTTAGCGATTTTTCAGACTGGAAAGTAACAAGGAAAACCACAGGTTAAGAATGTAAATGAGGCCGGGGCAGAAAGGCGGCCAGGTCGGCTGGCTTACCACGTGAACCATCTTGAGGTATCTGGCGTATCTGGGGTCCTCGGCGATGGTCACGGTATTATCTGACGAGGCTTCACTCTCCTGTGGCCCGGGGTCCTGTGCGCTGCTCTGCTGCAGAGAGTGTTTTGTGTAAATTTTTAGACATGTCACGGAGAGCTCCAGCAGGTTACTTAAATGGGTGTTTCTCGTTATAATTATAAGGCAGTAAATATCAGAGAAGATTGTATTTCTAAATTTAAATACCAGTAGTTTAATTATGGAATATATGTTTTTAAATGTCTACTGACACTTAAGTATGACATTTAACTATACTTAACCCCCAAAGCACACTGTGCCTTAAGATGCAAATGTATTCATGGCATTACAAATGTTAAACCCTGCTTTGTCCCCAGCGTGACCATATAAAATATGCATTTTACGTGGATACATTACTTTAATAAGACAGCTAGAGAAACTACTTGGCCAACTGCTCAGCTCAGTGGGCACTGAGCCGCTTTGCCAGGAGTCTGCCCCACTGACCGGTACCACACCATCTGACTGCGAGGACGTGGCTGCTCTACCTTTTTAGGAAGTGATGCTTGCAGCTTTTCTGGGACAGAATCGAGCTTTTTAGAAAAAATTAGTTTCCTACATTTTAGCTGCTGATAGAATTATTATTAATGGCACTATATTCAAGAGTGGTTTAGACTCCTGAACACGACAAACTCACTGGGGAGTGACTTCAGGTGAAAGGCACCTGTTTCCCAGAGCTGCAGTGCAAAGCTAAGACCACAGTGAAAGGGTTTTGGCCCAGACAGGACACTGTAGCCAGGAAAGCCTCAACTGGAAACACCCCCCCCCCCATTTACCTGTGACTCTATCTCCCTCCAACCTTAGGAATCTGCCCCTGGCTCCAAACGTGTGCCAAAGAGATACCTGTGCATCTCTAATGGCCCTAGGGCACTACCCTAAGCTTAGGCTACTTATATACCCCCCACGCCACCAGACGCCAGCGGTGTGGGGGGGTGTCGGTTATCTCTCTCCGTGTTCTCAGAATAAAGGCCTCTTTTGTTTTATACTGCACATCTTTTGGAAATAATCCTATCACACAGTACCAAGATCTCCTTAACAACTAAATCAAAAACACAGGTAAATCAATAAATACCTTTAAAATTTTATCATCTTTAAGAATATGAATGTGAACCATATGTTAAAGTTTTTCCCTGACAATTCAAACAAACTAAATCTGTCAAAAACTTTATCCCCAGTGAAACAGCCCCCAATCCTCCAGCTTTGTCCCATTACACTGCCAGTGCCACAGAAGTCGGTACACACATGAATATGCTGCATAGTTAAACGCAGGAAGTCTAAAACACTGTTAATTAAATACAAAGTAAACGCCAGCCCCAAGTGTGTTTCCAAAAACTTTATGAACAGCAAAGTCTCAGAGCAGCAGACAGTGGCGGGTGACAGCAAGCCTGCAGCCTCCAGGTCCTAGGCCTGCCTGCCTGCCTCTAGGTGTCAGCCCAGCTGAGGCCCCAGAAGCCAGCCCCCTCCAGGAACCCTGCGCATTCCTGCCCACATTCCTACCAGAATGACCTTCCTTATCTCTCAGCCGGCCTTCACTTCGCTGAGGTTAATCCCCCCCCAATAATTGGATGTTCCACTGGGAATAATGGTAAGATCTGAACCATGAAATTAAAGCTACAGAAAAACCACTACACCAACTTTTGGTTTTCTGATTCACATACCGATTAGAGGCCGTGATAATAAATGATTTTTTAATCCAAAAATACTTGATAATAAAGTCCTGTTACAACAATGGAAACTCTGTGTAAAGCAATAGTTAAGCTCATTTCTAAATATTTACACAAAACTTACTAATTAACATTAGTGAAGAGGAAATGTGTAATGAGCATGCTGGTATAACTTATTAAGCAGAACAAGCAAAACTTTGTTACAGTTTTTAGGAGGAGGAGACCACAGAACTTGGTAACTCCTCTAAATCAATTTTAAAATAAAACTGTCAGAGACACAATAGGTGAATGTGAATTTGCAAAGCACATTAAGAAATTCAACTATTAATTTTTTGGAACTTCAGGCTAGATCAATACATCTGCATAGAGTTCTAAGATACATTTTATAGGTTGCATTCATAACTGAAAAAACTGAGCTACAGATTCATTTAAAATACTAACATAAACATGATGACTATATAAGTATCTACCAATGAATAATCTTTTTAAATTTTTTTCCCAATGAACAAACGAGACAAAGTGAAAAAAAAAATTGTTTTAAACAGTCTCTCGCTATGCAGTCCATACTGGCCTCAAGGTTGCGGTGATTCTCCTGCCTCAGCCTCCCGAGTGCCAGGACCCAGGTGTGTGCTGCCATGCCTGGGTCAGAAATGCTTTCCTAATATCCTTGATGGACACCTCGTTTTAGGAAAAGGTCGTTTCCGTATTTAATTGAGAGCCTCATAAACTCCCCTGCTATTTTCTGGTAGTCTGCAGGAGCCATCACAGCGCGGGGCACTGGATTAATCGAATGAAGTGAAATTCTCCGTCTCTAACCGAGACCCACATGAACGGCCCTGCCCAGGGCCGGGCACAGTGCAGAGATGTGGCACCAGAGCTCCCCACGGCGCCCCGCACACCTGTCCCGCCGTCATCTGACCTTCACCTGACCTCTGTGTGCCTCTGCAGAGCATGCTGCTCCGTGGGTCCCCCCTGGCAGCTGCAGTGCGGGGATTCGTGCTGGACCCCTGCAGGTACGGAGCTGCTCAGCCGCACAGCTGCACTGTGCAGGGCGGCCGGGATGCGCACAGGGCCGGACTCGCCCCTGCGCGCTCTGCCCCGTCTCGGGGTCCTGCGGGGCCTGCAGTCCTGCTAAGGCCGGGAAGAGCTGCTGCAGGGGCCAGGAGGAACGGCGAAACTGCCTGCCACCACCAGCGCAGGGGGGCACACCCTCAGGGTGCGCTGTGCCACCCCCTCCATGGCACGCCGGGAAAACACCCCGCAGTCTGGCAGGCACCGTGTGACCGTGTGCGGGGAGGAACCGCCGGACTCTCGCCAAGGCCCTCGGGAGTCACACGGGCTAAAAGGACGCGCGATGCATGCGGAGGGTCACATCCACAGGTGACACAAAAGGCGGAGAAAGCCTCCCTCCATGCAGGAGCCTCCCTGGTGAGCGCTGGGACCGGAATCTGCTGTTTCTTTTTTTTCTGATGTTTAAATTTTTTATAGCAAAATACTTAAAGATTACAGAATTAGAAGTTTTCCTGCAGTGAACTTGAAGAAAATAGTTATACTCAAGGTATTTCCTAGCGCTCTAGGTTGAGGCGGTATTTTTACAGGCATAGGAAATATTAACACCAGGAATCGCTTAGGGTTAGGGTGGCCCTTTCTTCCTGCCCCCCTCCTCCCACCTGGGCCTCGGGCCCACGGGCTCAGCCCGGACACTGCTGTCTCCCAGGAGCCACACACTTACCTGGGACTGCTCTGAAGTGGCTTCAGATTGGGATCTGTCTGTGATGCTGGTGACACTTACAGGAGACACTTCAAAGGCCACCTCTTCGAGCCCCGGGATGGACGACAGCTGAGGGATCAAAGGGGCGCCGCGTCAGAGGGCCATGCTGGAGGGCAGCTCTCAGCGTGTGGGTGCGCTTTCTTTCCGGGATGGGACTTGAACTCAGGACCTCAGGCCTGCCAGGCAGGCACTTCGTTCTGAGCTGTGTCCCCGCCCCTGGTGTGTGTCTGCATAGCAACCCGCAATCTTGGGCCTGTACGAATTCTACGGGCTCATAAAGTCCCATCTTTAATTCTCTCTGTCATAAATTGAACATGGAAGACATTCACAAAGAAAACACTCTTCCCCGGTACCGATAAAAAGGAAAAAGACAAAAAAAAAAAACAAAAAACAAGAAGTTCTCAAGTGCACCCTAGCTAATAACTGTTCTCCTGGAAATTATTTTCCTAATACGGAGAATCCTAATGTGCAGATCCAAAGCCCTGCAGTCAGGGCAGCCTGTCCTGCCCGAGCCCTGACCTGTACCCACAACTCCGGGACTTTTACCAGTGCCTCTGTACCTCGATTTCTACCACCTAGAATGCAGGGATCAAACAAACTTGTAAGTTGTTGTAAAAAAGATTTTTATTTAAAAAATTTTCTCTCTCAAAGTGCTGAGTAGCACACACCATTTATTTATTGTGGGTTTTGAGACAGGGCCTGAGCTCACTGTGGGGCGCAGGCTGGCCTCACACCCCCGGCAGTCCCACCGCCAGCACACATTTTAATGCTTTGCTCTTGCTTTTATACGGGAATGTGTGGTGCTGTGGCCTGTGGTCATCCCAGCTACCCAGGAGACCCAGCAGGAGAACAAACGGCCTAAGCACAGGAGCTCGAAGCCCACCTGGCCAATACAGGGAGACCTAGTATAAAAGTAGTAGTATTTAAATGCTACTAAAAGTATGTAGTTCCTCACCCACAAAAAATGGTACACTCTCAGCCTTTCAGCCTGAAGTCATTCAGAACTTCAGGTTAGATTTGCAAGACCTGTGCAAACCCTCTCCTCTGATTTTATCCTGATAACCAGTGACACATTTGTCAGGCATCTGGCTAACTTTAGAGATGAACTCTACAGCTATGGAACCAAATAAAGTGAACTGAACTTGCGGCGTTGGACTCTAATCCGCGAGAATCCCTTGAACATTACAGCGGGACACGCGGTCACACAGCCAGCTAACGGAAACCCCAGTGCGCGGGATGTCCACTGGCAGCACTCGCTGCAGCCCGCTGACCTTCTTAGCACAGTGGTTTCGGCCCAAGCGCTCTCGAGGGGCTGAGGCTGCCGGGAGAGCAGTGTGAGCATGTCAAGGCCGGGGGACTGCGCTGCTCCCCAGAGAGGTGTCTGCAGGAAAACACAGCTCAGGAGCCCCTGGAGATGGGGAAGGGCAGGCCAGACCCTGGAGCTACTACCCTAAAGACACTAGTATCACCTCTTCTTTCTCACAGTTAACAAGTACCTTGGGACAATTCTTATTTTTTTATTTTTATCTTTTTGAGACAGGGTCTCACTATGCAGTTCAGGCTGGTCTTGAGCTCACTTTGTAGCCCAGGCTGGTCTCAAACTTGTTATAATCCTTCTGCCTCAACCTTGTGAGTGCTGGTATTACAGGTGTTCTCCACCACACCCGGCACTTTGGGACAATTTTTAAAAGTTAAATTAATTTTTTACCTTATACATAAAAACTGCACATTTTTATGGAATGTCTTTTCTTTGATAAAATGAAGTCACAAAAATGTTTCGTTTATGGGCAGGGAAAATAAATGTACAATGTGTTAAAAAATGAACAAAAGTTAAAACTTGTTAATTGTTATTTTCCAAAACCTTTATGTCTTCAAATCACAGCAGCTAGAGCTGGGGATTTAACTCATTATGTCTTCAAATAACAACAGCTAGAGCTGGGGATTTAACTCATTGTGTCTTCAAATAACAACAGCTAGGGCTGGGGATTTAACTCAGCGCAGAAGCTCCTGCCTGGCAAGTGAGAGGTTGTGAGTTCAAGCCCCGGTACCAAAACAAACCAACAAAAAAAATTTTTTTAAAACCCCACCAAATCAAAACAGCCTTCTATTTTTCATACTCAACTCTTGCAAGTTTCTTTTTGGTGCTGGGGATGGAACTCAGGGCCCTGCACTTGGTGGGCAGGCGCCGCGCTGCCGAGCCACCTCCCGGCCTGCCCTGCCCTCCTACACCACGCCGCCCTCCCTGCTCCTCGGCACTGAGGATCTCAGCGGTGGAAAACAGCTGATACTGCGGTAGCATTTGCCCTGGAAACCCCTAAAGCTTTATGCAGTTATCACTCTGTTATGTGGCTATTAAGTGATAACCATTCAATTAACTTTGGATTGTCCATCAAACGGAGTGAGCCATACGAGAGCTCAAGTTGGGAGCGTGTTACTCCTGCTGAGTTTCTGACATCAACCACTGTGCACATCTGGGAAGACGGTGTGTAGTTCACAGTGAACACTATTTCCTTAAGTTATAAATTATTTACAAAACAACACTGTACAGCGTCACAGCTGTATGAGTTACATTTAATTCCTTGCCAAGTGTGATTAAAAACTGGGGTCAGTATGTGTCTATCAAGTTTCGTACTAGAAATTTTGTGAAAATACAAACCTTTGCATCTAATATATTGAGAGTTGTTTCAATTTGTTGGATCCGAAGAGAGAGGTTTGCCAGTTTCTGCAAAAGAAAAACCGGAATCAAGTGTTTCACTAAAACTGTCAAAAATAACAACAAAGGGCAGGCTTAAAAATAGTAAATACTGTTTAAGCAGCTGTCATTTTCTAACAATCTGCCTGAATGGGAACTCAAGTATTTTTTTTTTTATTCTTTTTAAAAAATTTTTTATCGGTACCAGCGATCGAACTCACGGCCACGTGCTTGCAAGGCAGGTACTTATGCCGCTAAGCTAAATCCCCAGCCTGAACTCAAGCATTTTCTTATCTTTATAGTTATTTATAAAATAGTATTTAAGGAGACTGGGGATTTAGCTTAGCCGCATAAGCACCTGCCTGGCAAGCGCCAGGTCTAGAGTTCAATCCCCTATACCAAAATAAAATAAAATAAAATAAAATTTACTACTTTTTGAAAATTTAATTTGCAGTTTAGCATACTCATTACCAGGGCATTAATCAATGGGATTAAAATTGTGCAGTATAGCCTTCTGTTCACAGCCCGCCCTGGCCCCGAGCAGTGCCTGTTTGTGGAGGGCTGCAGGCTTCTCCAGAGCCAGCCGCAGGATTTGCCCTGATAACTGCACATGCACAATTTGTCCCCAATTTTTTTTTTTTGTCTTTTTTTTTTTGAGACAGGGTCTCACTATGCAGTTCACTTTGTAATCTAGGCTGGTCTCAAACTCTGAATGATCCTCCTGCCCTCCTGCCTTAGCCTCAAGAGTGCTGGGATCATAGGCGTGTGCCACCACACCGGGTTTTGTTCCAAATTCTAACTTCTCAAATTTGAAAAATAAAAGGCAGTGTGGTGACATACGTCTATAATCCCAGGACTTGGGAGGCTAAGGCAAGGGGATCATTGTGAGTTGGAGACCAGCCTGGGCTACAAAGTGAGCTCAAGGTCAGCCTGAGCTGTATAGCAAGAACCTGACTCAAAAAAAAAGGACAAAAACAAACAAACAAAACAGGAAAAGAAAAGTAAAAAGGGGGTCAGGGGTTTAGCTCAGCAGCGTAAGTGCCTGCTTGGCAAATGTGAAGTTGAGTTAAATCCTCGGTACAAAAAAAAAAAAAAAAAAAAAAAAAAAAAGTAAAAAGGATGACACTGCAGGATGAATGATTCATTTTGGAAAGAATTAAGAGAAAACACTAGAGCACATAAAAAGCAAAGAGCCAAGCCAGGTGTGGTGGTGACTCATGCCTGTAATCCCAGCACTGGGGAGGCTGAGGCAGGAGGATCGTTGTGAGTTTGGAGACCAGCCTGGGCTACAAAGTGAGCTCAAGGCCAGCCTGAATTACATAGTAAGACCCTGTCTCAAAATAAGACCAAAAAAAACAAAAAAAAACAAAGAGCTTACCATACTCTAATCTAATTACCCAGCATAATCAAAGCACCCACACACGTACGTTCACGTTCACCCGGGCTTATTTTCCTTGTTGCTGAAACAAAGTACCTGACACCCAAAGTCAAGGAGCAGAGCTTCCAGTTTGCAGAGGTTTCAGCCCCTAGTGAGCCAGCTCCAAAGGCAGGGTGGCGCTGCAGAGAATGGTTCAGGGTGGGCAGAAGGCAGCAAAGCACACGAGGCCTCAGCAGCTCCTTTCTGCCCCTTTCATAGTCTATCTAGGCTGCTGGGATTAGGGCGACACCAAGCCAATCAGTAGATCAATTCAGTAATCACACACCTCAACCCCCCAATCACACACTCTAGGTCCAGCCAAGAACCCATGACCTCATGAGGTTTTGGGGGGTCATGTAGACCCAAGCCATAACACCCACAAATAAAAAGTACTGAGCCATCAGAGCGTTCTTTTTTTTTTTTTTTTTTTTTGGTACTAGGATTGAACGCATGACCTCACACTTGCCAGGCAGGCGCTTATGCCACTGAGCTAAATCCCCAGCTCCAGAGCATTTGTTTTTTTTGAAACTCCTGCCCAGGGCTGGGAGAACGGCTCAGTGGTGTGTGCAGGGCCCATAGGCACAAAGCTCTGGATTCCACCCCAGCATCCCCAAGACAGCAGAGAGAGGAAAATCCTGATCTCCGATATCCTCTATCCTTACAGGCACGTGCAAGGGGCGGGCGCCACAGGCAAACAGGCTGCAGGGCCACCTCTGTGAGCTCAGGGCCAGTCTGGGGACACAGTGAGATGCTTCTCCATAAACAAACACACCTGGCCAGTAGCTCAGCGGCATAAGCGCCTGCCTGGCAAGCAAATGTCCTGAGTTCAATTCCTGGTACCAAGAAAAACAAAAACAAATCAGTACATGAATTAAATCAAAAGGGCTGCAGATAAAGCTGCGCAGTACAAGGGCTCAGTACTGATAAATCAGGAAGTCCAAGATACCAGTCGGTGAGAGGATATCCCGTGATTCTGAGTTGGAAGGGGTCTCTCTTTAAGTGTCAGAAGGGCTATTACTGGAGTGCAGAGGCAGACAACAGGGACCCCACCTTTCCCCAGCCAAGGACACCACGGAGGAGGGAGAGGAGGGAGCTGCTGCTCCACGCTGTGAGCTGGGAAGGGAACTGGCCCAAGCGCCACCAGCTGCTGAGTGGACAAGGAAACTGAGCCACGAGCACCACGGAGTACTGGGCAGCCGTGAGAAAAGAACGCACGCAGCCCGCTGTGACAGGCAGGGTGGTTACAGAGGCTGTTACGTGGCATGAAATGAACCGGGCACAGAGTTACACCCGTCACACAACTTCCCTTGTATGTCAAACAGAAAAAAGTGGAGAGCAAAATGGTGCCCACCAGAGGCTGGCATGAACAGGGAGGGGAGGACCGCACGACAGGGACCACGCGAAGACACCGAATAAATCAACAGGAAGGCTGCACCTCCGGCTGCCCGAGGTGCATCTCAGGGCGACACATAGTACCTTGAGGCCATTCCTACCAAAAAGACACTCAAGTATGTGAGGTAAGCCTCCTAGCAGTTTGACCAAGCCACTGAATAATGTGCAAAAATACCAATGCCTCACGCTGTGCACCACAGAAACCGGACAATTTATATCGATAAATAGCGTAGCTCAGCGGCATTAAGTGCCTGCCTTGAAAGCAGGCAGTCCTGAGTTCCATCTCCAGTACCGATAAAAAGGAAAAGGACAAGAAAAAAAAAAAAAAAAAAAAAAAGATGTATTTTCTAAAAGGAGAAAAAGCAACTTTAAAGACTATCTTTAAACTGCATGAGTTTTTTGGTCAACAAGTTTTTCTTTGGGGCTCAAGGAAAGCGGAGGGAATGGTGACTCAGCAAAAATAGTCACCGAGGGGACCCCGGGTTTCAGGGCAGGCAGGTGGTCTCTGGCAACGGGGCCAGGGGCAGGGGAGGACTGCTGTCTCTGATGGAGACGTTGAAAATGAACCCAAATTCTCAGGGCATTAGAACTCTAGGCTTATGAAGCAGAGGCCACCCTGCTAAAGGTTGGTTAGTTGAGTGTCTTTCCTAGGTGTGGGGGCTTGTGGCTATGAGGAAATGTTTACTTATTTCCCCTAACAATCCTAGGACATTCTTTCTCCAAATACTTCTCTGCCCCACCCAGTATATAAATTAAGGGGAAAGGCTAGTTTACTTTTTTCTGATTACGATTTTTATTAGGACGTCTGCAGCACATAATGATTACATTTCTTATGAGGCTTACTGGGTTTTATTAGTCAATCATGCATCCTGTTTGGAGAAGCAGAGTTTAGAATAAACGTCCCTGGAAGCATGCACCTCATCTGAGGGTCTGCTGACAGACGGAAATGTATCGACTCAAGTTCCTCAGTCTGCCAATGATGGTACTTCACTCTTGCTGTACTGAGATGACAGGAGATTCTTACAAGGAGAGAAAACAGGAGCCGGACCCTACCCAAGCGAAGGTGCTTTTCCTGTCTCCGTGCAGGACTTCATTAACACCCAGCAAAACCCTACTCGCTGAAGCTGCGGCTTAAGATCCAAGTCGCAACGTTCAACTGATTCACCTGAGAATTATCTAAAACTTCCACTTCTCGTCTTTTCTTAAATTTATGTTTCTCATTGTTCTCATCCTCATTTTTGGCTTTTAAATTTTCAAACTATCTGTCTATTTGACCGCAGCCATCAGGGACTGAACCCAGGGTTTTTCGACTTTGCCAAAGACCAGAAGGGGGCGTGGAATTTGCTACCTAATCCTCACACGTCACTTGCACAGGTGTTTTTATTTCCCTAAAAAATATCTGATGCCAAAGTTATGTTCTAGGCTCTTTCCCTTTGCCATCTTTGTCAAAGAATGCGAAATACTTTAGATGTCAAGTGTCTTTCGGGAGTAGGGTGGCAAACTTTACACTGAAAACAAGTCTTCAACCGCGACAATTTGTATCTCATCTGCCTCGGTGATCCCCGACAAGGGATCGCGGGGAGCAGGTGCGCAGCCCCGCGGGAGCACAGGCGTTCAGACGAGGCATGCGAACTCCCGTCTTACTCCACTTCCGGGATCTCCCGCGAACCGGGCTCCCGGCACCTACCTCCTCGCAAACGGTAGAAAAGTGGTTGAGGAACTGCACGGTGTGCACCACGAACTGGTTTAGAAACGCCACCGTTCTCTTCTGCTGGATCGCGGGCACCTGCGCCGGGGAACAAGCAAACGCTGCTCGCCCCGCTCTCCCGCCGGCCGCCAGGAGGGGGCGGGCTGCGCGCGCGAACCGCACGGGACGCCCAGGGGTGGAGATAGGGGTGGAGGTGGGCCCTGCTCTGGGCTCTGGGTGACCTGCGGGCGGTCGCGCCCGGGCCAGCGGCGGCCAGGCCCGGGCCAGGGGCCGCGGTGGGCGGGCATCTACCCGGGACCAGGATGCCCCCTCCCCATCCTCCGTTCCGGTGGTCGGAAGTTCAGCTCCGTCTCTTACACACCTTGGTCAGGTCTATGCCTGACCCCATGAGCGGGAGCCCGTCCTCGTCCATCTCTGCGGGCGGGCGGGCACCCCAGCTCCCGGACAGACTTCTTCCCGAAGGAGCCCGCCCAACCCGGAAACCGGGTTCCCAACTCCCCGCCCCAGGGGCCTCATACCGGAAGAAAGCGCCGGCATCTGCCAGTCGTTGGGCGACTTCCGGAAGGACCGCCTCTTCGCTCGGCATGCTGGGGTTTGTAGTTCCGGATCCGGATTGTGACGTCACCCTCTAGGGCTTCAGAGCTAGAAGCTAGGAGCTGGGGTGGCGTAGTACTAGTGGCGACTTAGAAATCGGGGAGTGGGGGACAAAAAGGAAAAGAAAGAAAAAGTAAAAACAAAGTCAGGAAGTGCATTCATAGCTGCGGTTTTCCTTGCTTAGCACTGTCTGTTGTATGAGTAGCTCAGGGTGCAGCTGGCTGTGGGAGGGACAAGGGCTGTCTCTGGGGTAAGGTGGAAACCCCGGAAGAGCCGCGGCAGGGAAGGCTCCCCGCGCACTGTGCGCTGTGCAGCATGCGGCTGGTCTCTCTCCTTCCTTACACAGCGTTTCCTCACTGCTGCTTCCTTGGTGGCCTCGTGGGTTAGGGTAGTGGAGGCCTAAGTCTTTTATTTTTGTGACTTGGCCTTTGAGACCCACTGCCCCGGACTCAGCTGACTTCTCAGCTCTGCGGAGTCCCCGGGAGTGCTGCAGACGCGTTTGCCCCTTGCCTGCGTCCAGGCACCTCTTCCTGCCTGTGACAGTGGGGTGTCGCTGCCCCCTTTTGCCTGGGCCTCTCTCCGCGTGGGCATTTCTGTCAAGTGTTACTCCTCAAGTTTTCTCGCAGCCAGTGCTTCTCGATGGCCCCAGGGAAAAAAATGAATTTTGTTTTATCGCTATGGATTTGAAGGGATTTCTGGATTCTCACCAGCCCACCGTGGTGCTTCCCCAGCCAAGAGCAGAAGTCACGCTCCTGCACGCAGGTGTCCATGGCATGCTCTGTGCGGCCTGGTCTCAGCTCGCGTTAGCCCTGTCTGCTCAGCTGGACACCCGTGCAGCGTGGTGACACCGACCTGCCTCTGTGCAGGAGCGGGTACCTGCTGAATGACTCGAGGGCCTGCTGACCACAGTATCCACGCCCGTGCAGTTCCTGTGAACCCCTGCCATCGGCTGGGTACACAGGCAGATGCCCCACTACCCGTCCTCTCCGGAGCCAAGCCTCCCCCACCTCTGGAATTAGGGTTCATCAGTCACCAACAGTGCCTTCACATCTAAATTACTGAGCTTCTAGGAAGAGTAAGCATCATCTATGGCTGAAGTCTTGGGGAGCCACCAGAAATCCCCTGAGGTATACACCTCTCCTTTGGGCTTTTTGTCAGTAGTAAAAATGCATCATCAGATCTACCTGTCATGAGTTCTGGAGGCAAACGTAGCAAATAAGCCAGGCATGGTGGTGCACTCCTGTAATCCCAGCACCCTGGAGGCTGAGGCAGGCCGATGCTTACAGGTTCGAGACCAGCCTGGGCTAAACAGCCCAAGGCCATCCTGAACTGCATAGTGAGACCCTATCTCAAAACAAACAAACAAAACAAAAACAAACAAAAAAGCAGATGATACTGAAGACTAGTAGAAACCCTGCATGCCACCTACTCATACACAGGCAGTGACCAGTTTAAGTTTTCCAATTATCTTTGCCTTTATGTCAATTACCAAAAACTGCTATCATTTGATTTTGTCACAGGTGAGCTCGGAGGCAGGGAAGGAAGGAGATGGCTGCTTGTTTTCTGTGTTTCTCCCAGTCTCAGGGTGCCCCTCCCCTTAGGTGGGCAGGGCATTCGAGGAGAGGACAGATCTGTGGCCCTCATTCTTACCACCTCCCCACTGTGGCCCTCAGGAGTGACGGGAATTGGCTAAGTGCGGCAGTTGTAGCCGACTAGTCCAGGACATCAGCAGCTGGAAACCCTACCCTGCGCAGCACAGGACCTGGTCACCCCGGGGAGCCCAGTGTCTCCCTGTCCCTGCCCTAGAGGACCAGGAAGCCCCTTTGCTGTTAGCTTACCCGCCCATCCAAGTTGTCCGCGCCCTGGACACTGCGCATGCGCCACCTTCCTCTCTTGGTGAACTGGGGAATCACCAAGCTTTGCAACCTGAGCTGCGAAGTCAGCAGGCTTTTTCATCGAGAAGATGTGGAAGGAAGGAAAACTTTTACCCACAGGCACTCTTTGTGGCAGCAGTAACATCACTGTTTTTTGAGTTACGGTTCTTTATCTCAGATTCACTAAGATTTTCTTCTTCCCTTTGGCTGGAGGTAGAAATGGGGAGGCCTGGCCAGGTGCGCTGGCACATGCCAGTAATCCCAGCACTCAGGAGGCTGTGGCAGGAGGGTCATTCTGGGCCACCTAGTGAGTTCAAGGCCGTCCTGAGCAACACAGCAAAACTCTGGCTCAAAAAACAAAACAAAACAAAAAGGCTGCTCAGAGTCTATTTAGCTTTAACAGAACTCAACCGTCTTTTCGAGGCAGAATCTCTCTATGCTGTTCGGGCTGGCCTCATACTCTGTAGCCCAGGCTGGCCTTGAACTCAGTAGTGATCCTCCTGCCTCGGCCTCCTCGGTGTGTGTCACCATGACAGGCCTGCCTTCTTCAAAGAATAAACTACTTATTTAAAAAAGAGTAAACAATACCTCTATCAGCTGTTTCTAGTTATCTCTGCCCGGCAGTTTTGGGGAATGACTTAGCACGGTCAGGTTTGAATCACAACCACATAAAGTCATTAAAAAGTTTGCCAGGAGTTGAACATCAGCATTTCTTCCCGAAGCCTTGTTTCTGAATTCCAAAACTTATATTTGAGTCTTTGCTATTTCCTTTTAAAAATGGCCAGTCCAGCATGGTAGCACCCGTAACCCAGCACTACAGGAGGCGGAGACAGGAGGATTGTAAATGTGAGCTCAGGCCGGCAACAGGGCTGGGGCTGCAGCTCAGTGTGAAGGCTCTGGGCTCAACCCCCAGTACTACAGAAGGAAAAAAAAGAAGTCAGAAGTTATGAACCCTACAGACAGGGGTTCAGTGTCTGCCTCTGTTCCGTGGTTCTGGGGAACAAAATGCAGGCCCTTGTGCATGCGAATGAGAAGCCACCTACCACTGGGCTCAGCTTCAGCCCAAGAAGCCCGTGTATATACACACATGGTCCTGGGGCGTCCTAGACTCCCCAGGTTTCTGAATGGGCTCTGCAAAGGCCACTCTGTCCCAATAGGACTGGAGTCCCTGGCACCCATTTCTTCCATCTGCCAAGGTGTTTCTGGGTAGAAGCAGGTGAATGCCAGGGCAGCTGAGGCCAAAGTCTGTTAGAAACACGTAAGCAAGTTCGACTGGGCATCTGGATCATCCCAGGGGCCCAGGATCCCAATGGTGGTGGTCTGCATATACTTTTAGAGAACACAGTCATGCCACATATTTGTGGTATTTGGTATCTCTAGGCCCCAGTTGTACACCCAGGTGAACATGTTTCAGGTCAATGGCAGTGGGGTGACAGGGAAAGGAACAGGGTGGAAACGTGTGACCCCAGGTTTGCGCCACAGGCCTGGGGTCTGTGCTTGTGGGCGGGGCCTCCGGGGCAGGAGGAGAGACTGAGGCCCCAGCCTTGTTCCACATCCAGCCCCCAGGAAGTCGGCCAGGGTAAAGCTAGCACTCGGGTTCGAGGGCGTGACAGATGGCGATCGAGGGCCTCTCTCGAAGATGCTTCCTGGAGCGAGGCAATTTGGAGAGGGGTTGTTCGCCAGTGACCAATGCTCGGGAGAACCAGCTCTACAGAACATGTGGCCATGCCAGGAAACTTCAACCTCAGAGAGGATTAATTTTTGGGTAGTTGGCCATCAAAATGATTATTCGATAATTATAAGAAAAGATGCATCAAAGTTGGGTGTGATGACACACACCTGTAATCCCAGCACTCAGGAGGCTGAGGCAAGAGGATCACTGTGAGTTCAAAACCAACCTGGGCTACAAAGTGAGCTCAAGGCCAGCCTGAATTGCAAAGGGAGACCCTGTCTCAAAAAGACAAACAAACAAACAAAACAAAATAAAACCAAAAAAGAAAATATCAAGTTATTCTGTTTCAAGCACCTAGTTTTCATTAGTGTTAGTGGAAGAAAAGAAAACATCACATTAAGATAGTAGAAAAATGTTCAGTAAAACGTAGCAGAATGGCCCAGCTGCAGCTGAATGGAACTTCGCCATTTCTGATAACCGTAGTCCAAGTCCGAATGAACTAACATGAACTTACGTGGTTATGGTCTGCATCCTCTTTATCTCTAGGGTGTAATTTATCATTACTTGCCCCTGGCTTGCTTTAAAGGTTAGTTGTCTGAGATTTATTTTCCTTGTACACTGTCTGAAAAACAGAGATTTCCTAAAAGAGCACTTACTTGAGATAGTTGCAGAGATTGTGCTTCATTCTGGACAGAGTGGAGATCTCGCCTGGATTTGGCTCCATGTCAGGCTAACAGCTGTGTTTATTAAGAAAGATCAAAGTTTCTTACTTCACCACCATTAGAAACAAAGAGACCAGTGGTAATTTCTGTCTTTACTACAAAGAAACAGACTCACAATATAGCACTGTAAATGCCGCGGGGAGAAATGAGTATCTCATGGGTCTCTCAGTCCATCCAGTCGTTCAGCACTGTCTGGCGAGGCTGAGAGCCCCAGAGGCCTCCTCTTCACGGCTCGTGGTTCACATGGGTTTTGTGACTTATGTAAACCTTACAAGTCCCAAGGGACTCTGCTACACTAGTGGAGAAGGTGGGTAACTCTGCAGCAGAGACCCAAGTTAAACCGTGACCAGCAGAGCCGCGGCAATTCCCAGCAAATGTCACCTCCCGCGTAAGGACAACCACTGCTGCTCTCAGGTGGTTCAGAGAACTCTTGAGGTGGGCCGCATGCCTTGGGGTCTCGTGAGTCTGGGAGCACGCACACAGAGGCAGCTGTGGTTTCTGAACCTAAGCAGTGGACACATCGTAAACACAGACATGTCCTCTCTTGTGAAATGACACCCTGAGTTCAGTGCTCTGTTACTCAGTTTAGGCTGCGTGGCATCATAAATTAAAACCTTGCTAATACAACCTGTCTGGCCAGGAGGGCACGCTAGCTGTTCTGCAACACTTCCCCAGTGCCTGCTCCGAGGACTGGCTTTGGATCAGCACGGTGTGTGGCGGAGGACATGCAGTGTGCTCTGCTGGCCCTGTCCCTGGGCACATGGGCACCCCAGCCTCTCCCGAGAAATGAGCTGACACCACGGTCCTCTTCTCTGTGGACGCCGAGCCAAGGCTGCTGCGAGGAAGGGTGTGGGGTTCGAGTCTCGTGCAAGCACCAGGAAGCCGTGGAAAAGGTTCTGTCCCTAGCACCCACCTGGCCCTGACTCACAGGAAGGAGGTCAGATTTTAGACAATCACAGAGACCAGACAGGACTGCGCAAGCCACCCTTCCAATTCTTCTCCGCAGGCAGGAGATTCAGAACAGCCATGGCACAGGTCTAGGTCAGTAAGAGAGCCGTGGGCGTGGGATGTTGTATTGGACACGGGAGGGAACTGACAGGACACGAAGGCCAGACCCCAGGTACAAAAGGGCTTGTGAGCCCATCACTGGGAAAGGAGACGATTCCATGCTGACTGCTTGTGACATTTGCTTCAGTGACCTTAAATAATACACCGTGTATTCATTCATTATGTAAAAGGAAGGTTTTCTCTTGCCACAGTGTCTGTGAGGGAAGCGATCCTGAGCAAAACAATTTCAACAGCAGAAAAAATCTCTCTCAGACATGCTAATTATAAACAAAACTGGAGAGAAAAAAGCAAGAAAACCAGGAAACACAGCATCCGCCCTGGTGTTACTGACCAGGACACAGAAGTGGTGACCAGTGACTGACTCCTCCTGGCCAGTCTAGTAGACACATTTCGAAGGACAGCTAACAAGGACAAGCACAAGGATTAGCACCATACTGTCGCAAGGAAACTGCAAACAATAAAGTCCCACAGAGAGCGCTGGAGAGCAGCCCCTGCCCACGGCAGCATCTAGAAGAGAACCAGCTCGCTTCCCTCTGGAGCTGGGCACCTCTCCTGGGGAGCATCGCTGCGGAGTCACTCACGTACCCCACTGCCCTTCCTGAGGGTCACACTCCTTGCCTTTTTTGCCGTAACTGCATTTAGGGTCCCCAGGCCAGGTTCCCAAGGTGGCTCCCCAGGCAGTGTCACGGGGTGACTTCCTGAGACAGCTGGAGTGTTCTGGAGAAGCCACGCCCAGGCCGAGTGCCTTCCCAATGGGTCCTAGACAAAACTCGCCCCAGTCCTATGTCAGGCTTTCTAAGTACGGGACAGCAGTTGTCCAATATGCTGGATTCTTGGATACATCCTGAAATGACAAATTTTGTACAAGAGTCGCTGCTGACAAGGTGTCCCTTCTGGCCTAGCCGGTGCTTTCAGAGGACTCTGTCCCATCAGAGGCCGGAAGGGACCACATCAAGACTTCCTGCCCTTTGCTTCTACCCCATGCGCCTGAAGTCTGCCCAGGGAGGGTGTACGATCTTGTTGGCTAACTAGATTTTACGGTGTTAAGTAACCGCTGGGACTTGCTATCTAACATGTCACCCGGGCTGCAAAGCCTGCAGTTTACACCAAACATCTACATGGCACCAAAGTCCTCTGACCTAATCTGTATTTTCTGCTGACATTTTCCTATCCCTTAAAGGACACTTTCCTTGATTCTGTAAGACAACTATTTGACACTCTAATCATTAGAAAACAGTAAAAATATTTACGAGCAGTATTAATGAAAAAATCCTTAAAAAATAAAACTACAATTCTGAAATAATCAGTAACACAACTCTCTGGACTGCGTGGGGGAGAGACGCTGGGCATTCTCCCTCCCCTGTAACCGTCCTGTCAGCCCCAGAAGACAGATTCCAGTCCCATTACAGACACAACAATGCTCAGCAAAGGCATGCGTGCAGTCCAGGAATTCGGTGTGCAGGAATCTGTCTAGGTCTCTGCCTGACGAGCAGGACCTTCATCTGATTCTTTACGAACTCCACCACGATGTGTCACAAAAGCACAGGTGGCAGCCTCCCATCCCTCTACGGTCTCTCACTGGGTGAAGCAGATTCTCCTCCCCTGGGAGGCTTCCCCAGCTGCTCCCTGAGAAGGACGCCTGTCCACGAAAGTGGACGCTGCAAAGCTGTGGATGGACCCTATGCCCCTCTCCCAGGGCTGCTTTTGCCCTATTTCAAGATGCTCCAAACACTGAGATGCCTGGTGTGGAGGGGCTTGCGGATGGTACCCGGGGTGGGGGTGGGGAACACAGTCACTCTGTAAAGAAACTGCCCATCTCTTCTTGTGTGTAAACTGCATAATAGAGTACTAACAAAATGCACTGCTAACAAAATGCACACATGGACACAGCTGTACATTCAACCCCTCCACATACACTGGAGAAGTCTTCTTCTCCTTTTCAAGTGTCTCTGTCCCTGAGAATCCGGAAATAAGTGTTCCAAGAAGAGAAGACAGAACACACTTTGGATAACCCTCTGACAGAATCAAAACCACGTTCCCTTCTCCACCTCTTCTCTGTAGCTGAGCTAAGTGAACTGTATAATCTTACAGGATGACTTAAAAATCCATCTCTATATACAACAGAGTAGGCAACTGATTTTTCAAAGCAAAATTTTATTTAACAAAAGCAACAACTGGGACGACTAAGCTTGACAGTATATCTGATATAAAAATAGTATCTCCAAAATATACAGTAGAAATACAAAGTTCAGTGTCCGAAAGACCAAGACAGCTCGCCTCACACCTCGGTCACCCAGAAGGACAGCTTGCGGTCTCCTCCCATCACGCACAGCGGCAGCGTCCTGTGCCAGGAGAGGCCGGAGCCCACGGCGACCGAGCCAGCAAGGATGGGCTGCAAAGCAGGCGGGGCGGGAAGCACAGTCAGTCTCAAGGGTCGGGACAAAACTCCAAACACAAGAGGGGCACGGCGAATTATCTGCTTCCAGCGGAAACACAATTTAAAAACGCGCAGGCCTGGTGGCCCATGCCTGTGGACACAGCGCTCAGAAGGCTGAGGCAGGAGGACTGCCATGAGTCAGGGCCTGCCTGGGCTACACAGAGACCCTGTCTCAAAAAACCCAACCCAAACCAAACAAGTAAAATAAAAATAAATAAGACTGGAGACTTGGTTCAGCATGAATATTCTGGGTTTAACTCCCAGTTCCACAAACAAAAACAAAGGAAAACAAACAAAAAACAAGGGGCTCAGCTTAAAAGTAAATAAATACATAAAGACACACCCTCAGCAGTGAAATGTGCACCTCGTATTTGCGTACATGGATGTAACTCTATAAATATGAATAAACAGGATAGCCGAGAATCTCACCAACCACACAAGCAAGATTAAATTAATACATTTAAATGAAAGAGAAAACACAGACACAACAGAAGAAATAAGTATCTTACATGATTTTTGGCAAAGACAAAAACGTTGCCACCAGTGATTTATACAAAAAACGCCTTCTCTTCAATTTATGCAGATATAGACGTAGTAAAGTATAATCCTTTGTAACTCTTTATAAATATTAGTTCCTACACATCTGGGGCTATGGGCATCAAAGACAGACAGACAGACAGACACACACACGCACACACACACACACACACACACACAGACACGCGCGCGCGTGCCGCAGAGGGAATGCTGCTGTGTTACCTGGGGGTGCCCCAAGTGGTGGATCTGAAACTGGCTGGTCATCTTGCCAGGGTACCCCATGGTGGCAAACAAGCTCTCGCTAATCGCGGACCACCTGGGAAATGAGACATGGGAATGAGCACAGCGGCCTACAGACAATGACACGCTTTCTGAAGCAAGGCACTTCTTTTTGCATGACAGCGGCATGTTTTGCGATCCTACATTTGTTTACATGGTTTAAAATGTAGACTGGGAAATCCAGGTTATGTCCCACTTTGTGAACCTCATTCAGTGCTTTGCTGCCCACCATTGCATTACGTTCCAAGCTGTGCCAGGCGGCCACGTCCCTCTCACAGTCAGAGGGCAGAGCATTGGGCAGGCACAAGGAGCCGCCGGACAGACATAAAGTATTTTCCAGGATAAGTGGATGTTTACCAAGGGTCTTAGGAGTGGCTGACACACTCGTGTGCTCACGTTCCTTGGGGTGAAGGAAGTGCCTGCAGGCACTGTGGGTGCTAGTTCACCCAGTCACTAGTCCTGACGACACCCCAGAACTGTAACAAGCGCGGTGTGGAAGACACTGACCGAAGCGGGAGCCCTTCGGACGGCTGGTCAGAGGCTGTCACCACCTGTCCGCAGCCACCGCCCTTTCTGCCATCTGCACTCTCCTTAGTGTGTCCAGCACTGGGGGGCCAGGCACACGGGGAGCACTCCCTACTCGTCCCTGACCTCACAGCAGGAGGTGTGACGTGACCATGGCAGGTACCCCGCAGCCTTCTCCCAACCTGAAGCAAGAAGCCAGGGCCGCACCCCTGGGGATGCACGGGCAAGGATGGAAAGAGTCTGAGCGTGTGACGACCCTGCAGAGTCCAGAAGCCAGCCTTGCACTGCCCCTCTCCCACGCCCAAGGACTGTCCTTCACCCAAACCAGGATGTGAGCAGCTTAGCATCAATGGCACGGCCACAGTTAGTTAAATATATTTTGCTGTTAACAGTGGTATCCCCAAGTCCTATGGTTTTACTTGGGACATTTTAGTTTTAACAGGAAACATGACATCCTAATGTTCTACTGAATTTAAAGCTGAAAGTAGCTTAATGATAACTTACACAGTGGAATACTATGGAAAATGAACGAAAAAGAACAAAAAATTAATTCAATGAAAAAACTAACAAGTGCTTAATGCACTGTGTCTACTTGAGGAGTTTACAAATCTAAGCGGCTCAGCAGGGAGCCACGGTTCTTACTTTGTAAGTATCCTTAGCCTGTGCAAAAGAGGGCATGGAGATTTTGTGAGTGCTGCACGCCCCTAGAGGTGGTGGGCATACAATATACGGGGGAGGGAAGAGGCTGCTCTTAGACCCTTTTGTTCTGGCTGCTGCTTTCAAGTGTTGCCCGGGTACCAGGTCACCCCGCCTTGAAGCCAGCTGATTATGGACGGAAATCTCCACAAGCAGTGAGCTAAATAAACCTTTCCTTCCTTCATTTTGGGTGTCAGGTGTTTTGTCTCAGCCATGAGAAAAAAGTAACCAAGACACACACCATGGGGCATATTTTCACTTAGAATGTGAGGTTAATACACAAGCGCAGGTCTGTGTACATCTGAGGCTTTCCCAGCACAAGCCAGTAGGAAAGCACAGTGTGCCCCAAATTCGTGAGTGGAGGTATTTCTTTTGTGAGCTATGAAGCTTTGCAAAAAAAATTTGAAAAACATATCCACTGCTTGTTAAGTGCAAAAGATAAAAACCAAGACTCCGTTGGGAAAGCAAGTTAATCCTTACAATGACCCTTACAAAAACAACAGAAAAAGAAACTGGGTGCAAAAGTGAGGACCAGGGCAGATCTCAGTGTCGGCAAAGCAGGAAGTCAGAGCTGAGCCGGCAGCCCCGACAGAAGTGGCGTCTTACCTGAATACGCAGGCCCGGTCCGTGTGCACGGGTCTCGTCTCTTGAGGGTAGCTAGAAAACACAATTTTGTACTTTGTGAATGTGTGCTAAAACTCAAGGGGAGGAAAGGTTTTAGAGCTGTTTTCTCTCCAGGGGCTTGAACGTTTAATGACTCTGTAGAGTGAAGAAGCCAGCCTGGAGAATGCCCACCCACACCTAATACTGTCATTTACTTCATTATATGTAGCCCTGGCTGACATCTCTGAAATCCGCCTGCCAGTAGCAGTAACAGAATTCCAAGCTGAGCATAGCGGCTCACATCTGTAATCCCAGCACTTGGGAGGCCAAGGCAGAGTCACCACAAATTTGAGGTCAGCCTAGGCTACATAGTGAAGTCAAGGCCAGCCTGAACTACCTAGTGAGACCCTCTCTCAAAACAACAAAATCCCAAGGAGCTGACAGTCAAATTGGATGAAGCGCAGAGACGCGTGGCTTTGAACCACTCCGGGCTGCGTCACTCACGCTGGACTGTCTAAGGCCCCTAAGCCTGGCTCAGGGCAGCACTCCTCCTGCACCGCCCTTTTCGCATCCCCCCTAAGCAGGGTGTGTACAGACACCCCCTTGGCGCAGTAGCAACAGTGCAGGGACCCAGAGGATGGGCGCAGGAAGTACCTGGACCGAGTGATGTCCCAAATCAGCCAGTCGGTTCCTGCGACCGCGCCCACTTTGAATGTGTTTTTCAGGCACCAGTGCGCCGACATTAGCGGTATCTGTTCCGACTCCAGAGACAAAATCGCCTGATGGGTCACGAGGTCATAAAACCGGATGGTTCCATTCTTCTCTGCAACCATCAGCTGGGGACAGAAACGGGAAAGGGAACTGAACCACCCGCCCCGCAGCCACACCCAGGAGCAGCTCCATGCGAGGTTATGCCAAGGTACCCATCCGAACTGGGTGTAACAGGTGAACGAGCAAATGTAAGGCGAGGAAGGAGGGCTGCGAAAAGGAGTCTCTACCAAATCTGGGGTACCCAAGGGAAAAGCAGAGACTTGGGAAAGCCTCGGTCACCAAGCAAGTTAAGGGGTGACGGATGTGATGCCCAGTGATCGAGAGGCGCTCAGCCTCGCCCATTTCCGGGATGGAAGGTCAGGCATGCGTGCTGCTCAGCACAGACCCACCCACGCCTCCACGTAACATGTGAAATGCCAGTGACTCTGCTGTACCACGGGTGTCCCTTCCGCTCAATGCCAGGCGCAGGCAAGGTGCCCGATCTGTGCCGACCTGGCACAGGCCCCCTCTGGCAGCAGCTGCTACGCAGTCCTCACTCTAAGACCCTGCTGCAGTCAGTGCAGGCACCCGTCTGCGAAATACCGTACCAGACACACAGATTCGCAAGAGAAACGGTGATTTTATAAACAGTTAGTGCCCAGCCTCAGCACAGGAGGTGCCTGCAAGGCTGCGTATATAACTGTCGCCCAGGCACCCGAGTAGCTGATGCTCAGGGCTGTGCGAATCTCTCTCCTCTGTGAAGTTCTTCTCCTTCAGCAGGTTCTCTGAATTCTGACTACATGAAGGTGAGATCATCCCTGACGGTTTGAGGTAGCAGTAGCAGACTGGATCGATGTGGGATTGGAAATCAGAAATCCCGGGCTCTGCTGGCTCCTCCGTCCTCTTACCCATGAGCTGAGGGTGACAGCTTCAGGCCCAGTTGGCGGACAACTGAGCTGTGGCTGCGCTTCAGGAGAAACCACTGCTACCGTCTCTAAGGAGACAGCATCCCTGGCTTGGTTTCCCACCCAGCACTGAGCCTCTGCCCCCCTCTGTGCTGCAGTCACTGCCGTTATCTGTGATACTTCGGTGTTAGACAGTTCTTCTGTTTGGGAGTCAGGGTCTCATCTGCAGCCCAGGCTAGCCTGGAGCTGTGCAATCCTCACCCTGGTCTCCCGCCTGCTGGGACTGCGGGTGGTACACAGTTGTTCCAAGTGCTGAATTAGCCACACTGAACCACAGTTCCTGGTGGAAATGGAGGGTTACGGTCTCTGGAGCGTCTCGACACTTTTTTCCTTTTGAAGTCAGCTCACTCTGCTCTCAGGCTCATGCTCCTCCTGCCTCAGCCTGCTAACGCAGGAATTACAGGCCACCCTGGCTGGCTCCTCACATCATTTCTGCCAGCTGCTTACTGGGGAACTCTGTGCCTCTGCTGAAAGACAGCTTGTGTAACAGAGACTCATTAGCAGCAGGGCAACTTGCGCCTGAACCCAGCTTAGCTGGCTGGTGTTCCACCAGGCAGTGCCTGACATGCATGAGGGACCTGCCCACAGTGACATTTCCAGTAAGTACAGCAGCATGGCCCTAACACCTCATGGAAATACACCACCCCGCAGTGCACGCAGTGTCCTCTTGCCTCACCCGAGGTGGGGGTGCGCGGCATCAGCCTTGGGCACATCTGAGGAGTGCTGTGGACACTGGCTTGGGGTTACAAAGACACTGTAACGAGTAGGTCAGTTTGCAAACACAGAATCTGCATCGTAAAGGACGGCACGTATACCCACGTATGTAAACACCACTGATTTCAACAGAGGGAGCTGGGCGTGGTGACACATCTCTGGCATCCCAGGAGTCCAGAGGCCGAGGCAGGAGGAACGCCACAGATCAGAAGGGCCTCTCTCTCCCTCTTGTGTGTGTACTGCAGAAAGATCCTCTCTGGGCAGGTTTTACACTGGAATCTGCACAAGGTCAGAATCCCTTAACTCCAAGGCCTGCAGGGTGGAGGCATGCGTGGAATCCTAGGGTCACACAACTCTGCGGCTGACCCTCCCTGGAAATGCTCTGAGAACTCTTGACTAATTCTCCTGTGTCAGTATCTACTAAGCAGGTCATTTTATTCCAACCCTGTTAGGGTTTGTGTCTGCATCTCCCCCCAAAGTTTCATGTTTCACAGGGGACAGGAGGCTTTTGGAGGTGGCTGACCAGTGCCAGGATGAAGGGTGAGCACTACACCCACCCTAGGGCAGGAAGCCTGTATAGTATAACAGTATAGTTAACAGTCTTGCCCTCTCTTCCTTGCTATTTTTGCTGTCTTCTGATGCCGTAAAAGTGACGCCTCTGCCACGCCACCCTGCCTTGGAGTCAGCTGATTATGGACTGCAACCTCTACAAACTGTAACTAAATACAACCCCCCCCCCCTTTTTCTGTCTTTTTCGTTTTTATTGGTACCAGGGATTGAACTCACGACTGCCTGCTTGCAAGGCTTATGCCGCTGAGCTAAATCCCCAGCCCCAACTTTCCCTCTTTAACATAGGGTGTCAGATATTTTCTCTCAGCAACAAGAAAAGTACTAAGACAGAACTTGGTACAGAGAAGTGAGGTCACAGTTGTGACTCTATCTGCCCATGTGGTTCAGGAGCCTTTGGAAGAGCTTGGAAAGGTTTCAGGAGGCTGGCTGAAGAACAGCTGAATGCCTTAGGCTGTTCTGTATGGGAGACTCTGGTCAGCGTTCAGAAGGCCAGAAGGCTGACAGAAACGCTGCTGGTGAAGACCAGGATGGGAAGTTTCTGCCTGGAAGGACAGCATTGGCTCCTGGAGTCCAGATGACGTGTGTCATGGTTCGGCATGTTTGTCTGCATTCTGCTCGTGTCCAGAGTCTTTGCCTGAAACAGATTAAGGATGGCAGACTAATCTTGCAGAGGAAACTCCAAGGTGGAATGCTGAAGCAGTGACAGTCACTGCTGGGGGTTGTTGGCCAGATCTATGTTCAGAGTCCAGCAGAACGATTTAAAATGTTGTCAATCTGGCTAGAGAGGAAGCTGTAGAGCAGAAGAGATCTTGACTGCAGAGAAGGAATAGGGGACTAGAAAAGAAAGCCTGAGGGCATCACAAGAACCAGCAAGACTCCAATCTCTGTAGCCTCAAAATTGCAAAAGTGAGAGACTTTGGTTTGGTTTGAGAGGAAAGACCCAGAGCTCCAAGTTGCAGAATGGCACCAACCTGAAGGATTTGTCCTCAGAGCTGGATTCAGAGTGCTCAGTGATCCACGCCTCAACCCCCACAGCCAAGAGGGAGGGAAGCCTGGCTACCGCTCCAGCTGGTGGCAGGCACCGGCATCACCCACTGGGGCTGGTTTTTAAGCTCACGCAGAATGCAAGAGTTGTGAGGTTAGGAAGGCTTCCACTCAGATTTCAGAAGGAGGCTTGGAAAGTCAAGCAGTGTGCTCCGAGAGGGCAGTGTGTGAAGTTGTGTTAAGTCAAAGGTATGATGAAGACCTGGGCAGTCTGGAGAAGCCAGGAATGTGGATCATCTGAGGAAAACTGCAAGAGAGAAGCCACGGGAGCTGTAACCAGTGGAGGTGCTGCAGGGGTGGAGCCACCCAAACCCTTGGGAGCTCACAACTAGCCACGGATTGCCTCAGATGCTGCCCATAGAACCAAAAGATTTCATGTTTGCCCTGCTGGCTTTTGGGCTTGCTTTGTTTCCATTCTTTTTTATCTGTGTAACTTTTGGAGTGGAAATGTCTATCCTGAGCCGTAGAATGTTGGATGCATTTAACTTTCTTTTCATTTGTACAGAGGCTCACTTAAGCATTTGCCTTAAATCTAAGAGGAGACCTGGGCCTTGGAATTTTAGGAATGCTGGAACTATTAGGACTTTGGCAACTCTTAGAGACTGACTAAAAGCCTTTTGCATAATGGGATATGCAAGTGTCTTTGGCAGGTCAGGGGTAGAATGTTACGGTCTGTGTTTGGATGTGTCCCTAAAGCCTCTTCGGGTCTTGGGGGACAGGCTTTTTGGAGGCAGCTCAATCTAGAGTCTGTGACTGATTCTTGGTTCCGTGCTAGGAGTAAGGGTGTAAGTGTCCTCCCACTTTAGGGAGGGCAGCTTGCATAAATACAAGGGACAGGAAAGCATTCTAACCAGGTGGCTGCTTTTGCCACCATCAAAGTTGCCCCTCTGCCGAGTGCCACCCTGCCTTGGAGCCAGCCTATTCTGTACTGAAATCTCCACAAACTGTCAGCTAAATAAGCCTTTTCCTTTTACCTTTAGGTGTCAGATATTTTGTCTCAGCAACGAGAAAAGTAACTAAGACAGACTCCTCTTTCACTCCCACAGTACTAATGAGAGTTCCCTGAGGACTAATTCTGGGGCAATTCACAAGTATACAGTCTAACAGTTTGTAGTGTAAAAAAGAAAAAGGACACATCCTTGTTCAAGAACAGGGCAGTGCAGCTTGTAGTTGCAAGAAGCTTGACCAAGACTGTCCCAGGATTACAAAGGAAGCAAAAGGCCATTGGAAATCCCTACAAATACGACGGTATCAGGAATGGCGACAGAGTAGGATCCTGTTCGACCGAGGGCCAAGGCTTGAGGAGGGCAGAACCAAGGTTGCGCAGGCGATGCAGTCAGGGTCAGAGGCAAAGGTGTGGCAGCGCTGGGTTCAGTATTGTGGGACAGGTGATCTTGAGCCTGCGGGGAGCAAGCCGGCCCGAGATCTCTCCAAATCCTCATTTCTTTGCCTCCAGTTCTTACGCATCCAAAGACAGGGAGCAAAGGACACGCCTTTGTAGGAGGGCGACAGTTCCCAATTTAGTGGGAAGCTGGGAGAATGTAGTAGTTAGGAGCAAGAACCGCCGGGCTGGGCCGGGCTGCAGGGTTTCCAACGCCAGTTGCTCACGTCCTGCCTGGGGCCCTGGGCAGCGGAGTCAACCTCGAGGTCCGTATCTGTACAGCAGGAAGGACCTCCCCACGGTCAGGATGCTGACCCTGGCCTGGCACCCTTGAACATTGCGATGACCAGAGTCCCCCTTCCTATCAACTTGAGGGAAGAGCAAGTGGCAGAGGGAGAGGACGGACGGTGTTAGGAGGACAGCAAAGCAAGGTGCCTGGCGCTGACGGGACCCTGGAGGACAGCTGAGCGCGTCCCCTGAGGATGACTTTGGCACTCTGCTTTCCAGAGACCCCACTATTCGGCCGCGCTCCGGACCCTGGCGAGTAAAGCCCTCATGAACAGGGGAAGGAAGGGCAGGGGTGGCTGGCAAGAGGAGGCCACAGTGGACGTTCAGCACTGCAGGCAGCTCTCTTTGGGTGGAAGTGGACACCACTGTGGCCAGGGCGGGTTCTCCTCACACGGCCAATGTTTTCTACATACACTGCCGCTCAGGACTTGGCTGTCACGTTTTGCTTTTTTTTTTCCTGACTGCAAGCTGCTACTGAACCATCTGGGCCCGAGTTTTAGGCTGTAATCTGCCTGAATCAGTGTACTGCGAGTAACTGCCATCTACACGTTGTCAAAAACTTCACCAGCTTTGGAGAAACTCATCCAGATTCCAGACTAACCCAAGTGCATTTGCTACCTGGTCTCTGGGGAGGGAAAGGTGCGGATTTCTCTCCTAGATGGATGGATGTGCCGTATCTGTGTATCCCTTCAGCTGGATAAAAGTCATAAAGAATAACCTTAAAATTCTCCTCAGGATGCCAGCACACACTCATACCGGGGGAATGAAGAACAAAATGGGCTGTCTGCGTTCCTTCCAAGTTCCAAATCCTGTAAGAGAGGAGAGTGTGTTAAATATGCTGGATAAATCACCACAATGGCATGAAGCTCCCGTCAACGTGTTCAAAGCCGCTAGCACAAGCTGTAAGCAGGCACCTGTCCTTAACGCGTGGCTGCTGGGGAAAATCACAACATCCCGCGGGAACTACACAGCGGCGTGAAGAACTGAAGTCTCAGCAGCTCAGTCTTGGCGAACACAACGCTCACTCTATGGGCGAAACCTTGAAGTCTCTAGGTCACTAATCAGGTGGCCTTCCTACCCCAGCAATATCTCAAGTGTCATCTTCCAGGGTGTGGCACCTTCCCAGTCAGGTGGCACGGACAGGCAGCAGGAGGTGACGGCATGGAATGGCAGGGTCACTTCCTGCCCGTGCACTTTCCACCGCCAAGTTCCCGTCCCAGCGGCGAGCTCCTGGTGCCCTGACTTCTGACCTGGCTCACTTCCTAGTGGCCCAAGACAGTCCTGGGTGACAGTTACCAGACAGATGCACTCGGGCCCTCTGCCCCTCCCTGCTCAGTGGTTACACATTCGAAGCCAGCAGAACTCTGCTCAGCTTTCCTGTCCCTGAAGGGATGACTCCTCGTCGCCTCCGCACATTGTCATTGTGGCATCAGCTCAGCTTTCTCCCTCGCCACGGCATGGCATGCAGGAGACAAAAGTAGCAAAGGGTCCCAGGAATCTGGTTCTCAGGACCTGGGCACTCAGGGCTGGGCCACTGTGGGGCCCTCAGCATGACTGGCATCGTGTGCCAACAGGCAGGCAGGCACCAGGAGACTAAAACCACACACTAACTCCACTCGGGCAGTGCCCATCTCTGCCTTCTACTACAGTTCACATCTTTTTAGGGCTGTAAACAATGCTAAAGCCTTCATAAATATATTCAGGGATGCGCACGGGCAGAAATTTATTTCAAAGAAAGCAGCCATTAGATAATGCTGTGCTGTGTGCCAAGCCACATTAAACATTTTCCTTCTTGTAGAAATCATGGCATTTCACACCTTAAATATCATTGTTATATATAAATACACATTTTTCACAATTATCTACTTCAACTAGCAGAAGTATACTCTTATTTTGCTAAATCAGTACTTTTCATCCGAATTTGCAGTAGCAGGAAGCAGTGATGACTTAAGTGAGGAGAGGACCGCATTCCCGAGGGTCTGCCAGCTGTGCTTCCCTCCTCGCCCTGAGAGAGCAGACCAGCTGTGGCGATGGAACCGCGTCCTCCTTGCCCAGGGTATGTGCATGACGGCATGCTCGGCTAGCACACATTGACACTCCTGAAATAAGTCTACATTTTTCTTCCAAATGCAGTGAATCCTGGAATCCTACTTTAATATGTATGTGGTTTTTGATGGGTATTATATAAATTGAGCAAATATATTCCAGAACAGCTTCTGATTTGACTCCCTCTCGAAGGGAACAAAAGATGTACAAATACAGGGAGACAGCACCTAATATTAGGCCAATTAATGAAGTGTACTCGTATGCGAAGGCGTAACCCTGCCTAAGCAGTATTTTACCCCCATCAGACCTGGTGCTGCTTTAAAAACAAACTGAAACAAGAGCAGGGCGATCCCAATGACTTTTCAGGGGCACAGGATGAAAATGACCTGTGCTTTATAACTGTATGATTGTTAGTGGCCGTATACATCTAAGCACTAAATATGCAAAGTACAACGAATTGGACTGAAAAAGTCTTCCTGAGTAAATTAGCTACAGATGGCCCAGTGCACGTCATGAGGTCGCATCTCCCCACTAACAGATCCCTAACTGAGCCCCTCTCTGGGCCTTTCTGTCTTCACTCGCTGGTTCACCTCGTGCGTGTAATTCCCATCAGACACTGTGTAACAGCACGCAGGGCACGCTTATGGGGAACGGCGCCCGCGCCCAGAGCACCTCTGGGACCCTGGAGGCCCTCCGGTCCCTCTCTCCAGTCCCACCCCCTTTCTCTCTCACAGAAGGCGCCCACAGGACGCTGACGTCTGCCTGTGGTTTCACAGCATAAGCTACATGGTTTTCGTTTGCTGTCTTTCCTCACTAGGGTCGTAGAGGTTTGCCGAGAGCTTTGTGCCGTACTCTTTGGACCCTCACTGCCGTGCACTACCCTGTAATTAAACACCACCATCCTACTGCTGTGACTGGCACCGAGCTTCTGTCCCGTTTTGGGGCATTACTAATAGTGCCACCATGAACCTTCCTGACATGTACCTAACGGTACTGAGTATAGTCATCTGCATAATGCCCCTCAGTCCGCACACGCGCGCGCGCACGGGCACACACACCCCAGCCAGGTACACACCCAGGATCGAACTGTCAAATCAGTCTGCTGCTGTGTTCAGCTTCAGCAGGTAGATATGGCAAACAGCTTCCCGATCAGCTGCGTCTCTCCCATCCAGCCCCTCCCACCCTCTCCTTTTCCATACCAATGGAAAAGGCTCACACTTTTTCTCATTTTTAGACAAAAACCATCTTGCAACAATGACCTGCCTGAACGGCAAAAGGTCCTGCCTTTCAGTTTGGTCTCATTTTGCGAGATCATTTCTGAGTGGTCTTTTTCTCCTGCATTTGATGTGGCTCCCATGGTACCTTCACGTTCACTTTAAGGCATGGCGAGCAGAACGCAGCGAAGCCTTCTCACTGCCCGGCTACAGTCTCTTCCTTCCCGCCGCCGAACTGAGAAGGGGCTGCTGCTCCGACGCGCTCCCACGCGCACCTGTGCACTTGCCAAAAGGGGACAGGGCTTTCTTCACTTAACCAGCCGTCTGCTCCTCGGTGTAACCAGACAGTTATTAGGGTATGCGCTGATGAGTAACTAAGCGAAGGAGTCTCAATGAAACACTGACGGCAAGGTGGGCTAGGTCTCTAAACCAAACGTCTCTCCACCGCTCTTTCTTTAGAGACAATGTCTCACTGTGCAGCTCACCATGGCCTTGGGATCACGGTGTAGCCCAGGCTGGTCTCAAACTTGCAGAGACGCTCCTGTCTCAAGCTTCCAGAGTGCTGGGATTACAGGAGTGCGCCTCACACCAGCTCAGAATGAAACTATCTTAATGTCACAGTTGTAAGGTATAAAACAAAAACCCAAATCTAGATTTGTCTGAATTGAGACTGTTTTCTGTATATTGTTTTCACTGATGTCATTTTATTGTGGTTGTTGCTCATGCAGAAAAAAACACACATCACATGCACCCACACACACACCACACACACACACACACACACCCACACACACTGAAAAGAAAAAACAGGTCCAACACCAATCACTGGACTCAAAACCTAAGAGAAAAGTCTAATGTGAGATTGGCAAATGAGTTCTTATGTACTGTGTCTGTTGTAAATTAAAACAAGGTAAATTGGTATATTTTTAAAGTGATTTTCTGAATTTACTGATTTTGGTTTTGAAAGAAACTACCAGTCTAGATCAAGTCAGATAAGAGTCTCTTACTGTAACAGAAAAACAAATTTAAATTTGGAAATTCAAGTTTCAGTATTTCCAAACTTATTTATTTATTGATTGATAACTTTGTTTATAACAAGTAAAATTACCTATAAGTCAATAAGTGTGTTTTTCGGGAAAATGGAATGTTATAGAAAGAGTAGCATTCTTAAAATAAATCCATGAAAAGATAACAGACCAGTAATAAAAGCATGGCATAAATGTTATCAGGTTAAATTATGTTGATCCGGGGCTAGGGATTTAGCTCAGCGGCATAAGCGCCTTTCTTGCAAGTGTGTGGTTATGAGTTTGATCCCTTGCACCGATAAAAATGAAGAAGACCAAAAAAAAAAAAAAAAAAAAATTATGCTGATCCAACCAGGAGCTACATGAAATGTACATGTGTAAGGTGGGTGTGATGACGCAAACCCAAAATCCCAGCACTTGGGAGGCTGAGGCAGGAGACCTTCCATGAGGTTGAGGTCAGCCTGGGCCACCTGAGAGTTTAAGGGCAGCCTGCACTACATAGCAGGAGCCTGACTCAAAATAACAAACAAAAGGTGAAATAAAACAACAAAAAAACAGAAGATAAATATACACGTGGATGTATTTAAATGCTTGCAAGGAAAATTTCAAAAGCAAAGCTTCTAAGGTCAAGTGCGTCAGCTGGCATTTTAGAAGCCACCCTGAGGGATGCCAAGGTCGCTGGGTGTTTATGGCACCGCTCTTCCTGTGACATCAAATGACCTGAGCTGTAATCTGAGCAAACGTCTTCCCCAACCCAACATCTCGGCCCTAAGCAGAACGCCTAGAAGTTAGAGTTCTCATAAAATGGAAGAACGAAGGGCTAGCTAGACCCAAGATTATGAATTATCCTTTTCTTTTAATAGTTTATTGCTGAAATTACTGCCTCCTTTCAAGCTGAGTGCTTTTCAGCAGAACAGTAAGTATCCTGACCATATGGTACTAAACATCATTGTCCCACCTGATCAATAAAAAGAGCCCATAAACGCAGTGTCACACGGGGAGACAGCCTGCAGCCTTCACCCACAACTCCAGAGGTAACGCTCTGAGGACTGCATGGGAAAGTTCCCAGGTGTCCTCAAGGAGCCAATGCACAGTGCAGGAGAGTGTGCTGTCAGATACCGGGGTTCCGGCTCTCCGCCCTGATTCGGCACGGGAGTACCGAAAACTGAAGTTCCCACTCGAGGTGTTTGACTGACCACAGAGGGCAGTGGACAGTTGGCTGGTTACGGTGGTGAATAAACTTTGTCAGTTTAAGAGTCAGTGTTCCAAGTGTATTCAGGAAATAAGGGTGGACTTAATACTTCTCAAGTCCACTGTATAAGTTAACAGTAACACCTTTGATATATTTGTGTATTAACGATAAAAGAAACAGATTATTTTACCGAAGTCATATTAAGCACAATGAAATGCGCTCCATGAGAACAGACTGCACATGGTTATAATCTTACCTTTCGGTCATTAACAGTCAAGACCAGAGGAAGCACCCACAGGCTGCCTGTGGTGTCTGGGGAGGAAGGAGTCAGC